GATGGTAACTGACTATTGCTCTGCTTCCTTAGATACTATACCTGGACATAACCATTCCTGTATACTTCTGCTTAGAACCAGTTCCCACAGTGTCAACAAAACACACCAATATGGGTAACTCCAAAGTGTAACATGCACCCAGATCTTTTCCCTTTTTATTACAAGTGTCAGGTTAGACCTACTTAAATGATACAATATCATATGCTCCACAGATGCCTGATGATTCAAGGTAGCAAGAAGAATTATCAAAAATTTAATGTTTGAATAAGAAATAAGACCCACAGAACTTGATAGTTTTCATGCTCTACTAATGATATGGGTTAGAGAAGTTTCCAAGAGAGGCATTTGATAGTGTATTTTCTTAATTGCTATCAGTTTTGCTAGTCTCAAACAAAAACTCAGTGTGTTTATTTTTGTCAACTGTATCTGTCACACCAAGAGGGTCACCAGAATTTCAAGAAGTGTAGATGAACCAGCCAGGGTAGGTATCTGAGTCCAAGATGTGCTGGGGTCCACTGAAGCCTTGTAAAAGATGAAGGGGTTTACTGTAGCCTTCTGTCAGGACTGTTTCAGGACTGGCTCCTTCTGGAAGGTAAAAGTCTCCTCCATTAAGTTCTGGATTTTGACTTTAAGTGAGACAAGAGTATTGTCTTAGGCGTAAGTACATGGGGCCTGGATTTTGAAGTGTGGATTCAAATACAAGTTTTGAACATTACTGCTTCAGGACTTAGGACAAACCTCAATGTTCTCATCTGTGGAATGAGAACCTTACTAAAAGTGCCTATCGTGAAAGGGTTGTAAGAATTTTAATTCTTATTTAAATGAGTAGGATTGACATGGTTCCTTGTGATTCCCCCTGCTGCTGGACTGTGGGAATGCAGCTGGGCAGACTAAACATGGAGATGCTAGACTACATTTACCCTGTGAAGGCGTCAGGTGCTGGGCTCAAGGGAAGTGCCAATACATTGCTGCTCAGAGGGTGGGAAAACACAGCCTAAGATGTGGGAGGCCAAAGCTGGGGTTCCTTGACTCCCGTGCATCCAGTCACCGCTGGAAACCTCACAAAGAGTTGGGGGCAGAGGGCCAGGGGTCCATGGGCCTGGAATGAGGAATCCAGGGTCAGCAACTCCCAAACTCTTGGGCATCCAGAAACCACTGGGTCTGGCAAGTTGGGAACAGAAAAGGCTCGAAGGTCGAGGAGCCCAGAGCCTGGGGGAGGAGGAACTCTGGCTCAGCTCATCAGAGGTTGTCTGAGAGCATAAAGGGGCCTTGGAAGTACATTTAGACTATAGCTCGGTAGATAAAGGCTTTCTCCATGCTCCCCAAGAGGTTCTTGATGGGAAATACATTCCTTGGTTCCAAACTGTTTATTGATTGTTCATAATGGAAAATGGGTGCATACTACCTCCTCAGGGTGGACCAGATTTTAAATACCTTTTACAAGAAGTAATGTCTGGGAAGGGAAGCTTATTGGCTAAACCCTCAGGGCCTCTAGATACCTCATTAGCATGGAGAACTCTGTCCTGATCTACCTAACCATAAGTCACATTCCTATGTAGGGAGTGTGATCACATGACAGGGGCCTGGTCTGAAGGTGGTGAAGCTGTTCCTGTCCTCTCAGAAGGTATGGGGCTTCCAGTCCACTCAACCTTACCAAGTTTCCTGGCACAGTCTACTTCCCCACAGACTTAGTCCACGCTAAGAAAGAGTGTAAACTGTAGATAGGACCCAGGACATGTTAATTGTGTTCTTCTTATCCTTCTTCCATGCATTAGCTAGTGGACACTATACCAACAGCAATGACTGAGGTAGGGCAGAGCCAAGATAGAAGTCTGAAGACTGGGGAAGGGGAGAGGCAGAGGGTACCCAGGAGCCCAGCATGGTACAAAAAGGAATAGACACACTGCAGGGCCTCCTTCAAATATTCACAGAGGTTGTCTCAAACCCCTAATTTCTTTAAATGTATAGTACTAGCTATAACAGTGGCCAGGGGGTTCCCTCTGTACTAGGTCAGGTATAGTGTGTCAGATGTGCTAACAATACTTCCATCACATAATAATGTGTCTTTGGCAGGCAATTACAATGGAAAGTTATTCTGAGATCGTACACCTCCCATGCATGAGAACAAGGCCTGTGCCTGGTTACTCAATGATTGTTCTCCTAGTCTCCTACTCGGAAAATGGGATGGAGCTTCCTGCCACACTCCACACTTATGCTGCCTCCTCCCTGCAGCCCTCCTTTCTGGTATGGGACTGCATTCTCTGTGGCTTTTATACTAATGATTCAGACCTGCTTACAAAGGCCCTGTTTGATCAACCTGTACTAGAGTGCCCAATGTATGAGTTTGCTCTGTGCTTATAGCAGTGATGACTCTGCTATGTAAGATCCTAATTAACTACAGTGATATAGGTCACAGGAGATCTGAGCTTCTCAGTTCTGGCTTATGCTAGATTCTCCTGGAATCTTTTCTGGTTCCAGAGTCTGAATTCACAAGGCAGGTACAGGTTGATTGACAGCTACCAAGCTAAACTAAACCTTTCCCCTCCTACTGATTACGATACCCTACCCTGAATCACCTGTAGATTGTAGTAGGTATGTTTGGCTTGGCCTGAGGTTCTGCTTTCTGGTTGGCTACAAGATTCCATGATGCTTCTCTGAAGTCAATCTTTGAGTGGTCTGACCTAAAGCAGTGGTTCTCAACCTTGGTTGTGGACTGAGCACTGAGACTGTGACATACATATGTATATATGGAGAGAGAGAGAGAGAGAGAGAGAGAGAGAGAGAGAGAGAGAGAGAGAGAGGGGGAGGGGGGGGGGGGGGGGGGGGGGGGGGGGGGGGGTGGGTGGGAGAGAGGGAGGGAGAGAGAGAGAGAGAGAGAGAGAGAGAGAGAGAGAGAGAGAGAATATGAATGGCCAGGACCCACATATCACTTAGGTCATATAATTTAAGACCAGACATTGCCCTGGTATTACCAGTATGGTGCTCTTTCACCTCCCACATAGTAAATTATTCTTAAACCTGCTTTTACTGTAATGTGATTTTCAACTATCATGTCCTTACTTGATCATGAGCCTGTGAAGTTGTAATACTCTCACTTATTGACTGGGACCCCTACTCTGTTCTTCACACTTCCCTCCCAGGGCAGAGGTTAAGGTACATATGACTTTCAGGCTCTGGTGACTATTACTATTTTCTATAGGGTAGTATTATCATTTTTGTGTATATCACCATAACCTAGAAGCTTATATATAAAACAGATCCTTGAGCCTTAACCCCAGAGTTTCTGATGCAAGAGAATTTACATTCTCAATACATTCCTAAGAGTTGTTGGGGTTGCTGGTCTTAGAGATACATTTTGAGACACTTACATATTGTAGAGATCACAAAACTGACAAGGAGTCATCAGAACAGAGTCAACAGGCAGGTAAAGTGGATTCTAGTCAGATGGTTACAACACTATTAAGAAGTTAACAACCTTACAACTACAAAACAAAAGCAGCACCAGAAACAGTAGAATACACGAGGGCCACAACAACAGTGGAACAATGACAGCAAGCCTCTTCACACAGGGGTGAGAAGGAGCCAGTCACCCTTATGATCTGGTACACACTGTCTCATTTGACCTAAAAAGAAACAAGACTTGGTTTTCCTACATGGTCCCATGACAATTCTCTCCTAAACAGACATTCTCAATATGTCACCCTGGTCAGGCAAACCCCTGTGTGGCTAATTTTATCATCCAGACAATGGGATATTAATAATTTCTTCCTGGGGTTGTTGTGGTGTGCACAAGGCAGTGAATGTATAGAGGTTCTGGCTCAGGAATGGTTGCACTGAACACTCAGAGGTGCCATCTCCTGGACATGCTTTTCCTTAGAGCTGTGGAGTCAGAATGTTGTACCCTTCCGAAGATAAGAGGGTTTCTGAGCTCCAAGCTTGCTTTCCCTGGTACCAGTTACTAGACATGCATCTCTGTTCCTCTCTGCAAAGGCCAACTTTCAGTTCATCTTTCTTATTTTGTCTGAACAGGATTCATCTTTGAAAAAGAAAAGCCCCAGCTGACTCAGCACTCTTAGATGTCCCCAGCTGTTCCTAGCCCCCATCCTCTCAGATCTCATTAACCCTCTTGCTCCATCTAGGAACCTCGCTTGAGTGAGGGAAAACCTCACTGGTGAATGTGCCTGTCTCCAGAGGATCTTCCAGGAGTTTAGAAGGATGAAACAAGACGTAGCAGAAAAACAGCAAGCACATTAAGACAAGATATAATGTAAATATTGTAAAACAGAGATGAATCAGCCAGAGGGTTCACGTGTGGAATATTAAAGGTCTTACCCCAAAAACATTCCTAAAATTCCAGACAACACAAGAAAATATCTGAGCTGACCCTTCAATTTCCAATCACTTTATAAAGTAAAATAAAAACAGTATAATTAGTTTGAAATTCTAATTGCTGTGAATGACTCTTTGAAATTTGAATTCATTTTATATTAACTTTGGTTAAAAGTCACCATAATTCAAGTGTGTCAAATTATTAACTGATGATATTCTGAGTCTATCTCAATTACCAAGGCATAGAAAATATATTATATTGCCTCATCCTTGAGATTTATCTTTTAGTTATTTATCATCCATTTAAATATACATAATATTTTACTTGAGCATACATAAAGTGAAGAAGGAAGAATCTTGCACTGATGATTTGGAATCCACATCTCTGCTCCATTGCCTCCTGTGAGAACAGGAAGGGAGAGTTGCATGTAAGACTGTGACTTCACTGGACTTGGTGCTGAATGGATGGTGGACAAGATCAGAAAAGGATAAAAACGATTCTTGGATGTCATGCCAGAATGATGTTGAAATGAATGACATTTTGGACATAGATGACTGGAGAAGAGATGGCTTGGTGGTCTTCTAAGATGCCTTGCTATGTTTCCAAGTAAAAGATTCTCAACAGTTTGATTCTTTAGCCTGGAAGTGGCCACATATGGTTCATGCTGTATCTAAGTCTCAGATTCCAAGTAGAAGTTAGTGTTAGCTTCACCCCTCTGCTGTGTGAGGATGATTGTCTGTCTTGCTGTGGAAGAGGTGGCTATAAACCAGCCAGGATAGAAGACTGACTGAAAGACAGAAGTGGAGCCCTCTGTGCCATGGTAGAAGAAAAAGGCTTTCTGGGCTTTTTTGTCATTGTACAAATTCATGATGTCTGCATCCTAGGGAAAAAAAGAGGCTTGTTAATGAGGAGTACCAGTGAAAAGCGCTACAGTGACTGAGCAGTGGATACATATCAAGGGAGTAACTGTTATCCAATAGGAGGGATAGGGAGTAGGGATGCAGACAGATGAAAAAATAACAAGCTATCAAAACAGGCACCCATTAATTTCCAATAATCTGTCTAAAGATCCTGTGATACAGAGAGTTACTGACTCTTTGAGGCATTGTGTTCCCTAGAATAGAATGGGGTAAGGGTGGGTATGCATCCTGGTGTGCATCCATCTACAGCTTCATGCCAACCAGCCTAGAGTCCCAAACTCTGAGTGAATTTATGCATTATAATTTCTATCATTAGTAAGGGATTTGGGTTTTAATTATAAATCTTTTCTTTTAGCACACTGATATGAACATGTACTATGAAAAATCCAGATTAGAAATCCTTTGCCTGACTGTGGCATATTAGCACCTCTGTGGATGTCTGAGAGAAAGTTATCCAGGACCAAGAATGGAGAAGCCACCTTTCCTTCACTTTGCAGAAACAATTCCATGACTTTAATGCTCTGATTTCATAGGATCTTTGCCCTGGGGTTTAAAAAAGGCTATATCTATTATCTGTTCAGCAGCACTGTTACTTATTTGGGAACTAGACAGGTGAAAGTTTCTTCCTTCCTGTGACTGCTACAAGCTTGCATGGCTATACTGTTACTATACTATACTATACTATACTATACTATACTATACTATACTATACTATACTATACTATACTATACTATATAGTACCGCAACTGATAAGTAGCCCTAGACAGAAGGCTTCCTGACTTACTTTAATCAGTGACTTGACCCACTCACCTTAAGCTGCAAAGTTGGCTTGCCCTCAATCTCAGAACAGAAGAGGCAGAGACTTCTGCTCTTGATTCCCAGGAAAACTAGATTACCTTTCTCTTCGTCTTGGAATTCCGTATCTCTACATGCTATCAAGGTAAGAATGACTGGAAACACAAAGGAAATTGGGAAGATGTCAGACTTCAAGCACAGGTAAATCCAGTCTTTCACCTTCCACCCTCCAAATCAGGGATGGTGAGAATCTTTCTCCACCAAAGCTTCCCACGTTAGCCACACAACAGTGATTCTCCTGAGATTGCTCTCCTGAGATGTTTTTATTCTTCATGCCAGAACCTCAGTTGTCACCTGGGTCCATTGTTTCCCAAAAATAAAATAAAATCTTATTATCCTTGCAGCTAAAAATAGTAATATAGCCATGCACTTATGTGGCCCATGAGATATGAGAGAAAGTATGCTGTAGGGTTTCTAAAATTGCTCCTTAAGACTAGACTCACCTCAAAAGACTTTGTCTGTCACATTTAGGGTCATCTTGTTATCTACGTCAAACACTTAAATGATAGCTTAGGTAAATTTGAGGTTGCTCGGGCAGAAAGGTAGAATCCTTGGCCTCTGGTGGCATCATGGAACCAACATGGAACCCAGCCTGGGCCGGACCACTGGTTTTTATACCACTGCGTTAAGTTCTCATTGTGTGAGATTTCTTTCATTCTTGGTTGAATTTAGCTGTTTAATAATTTAGGCTGAGATTCCTAAGAGTCTGAGTATTCTGTATCTATTTCTTAACAGAGGACAGGAAAACAAATCCATTCAACAACTACTTCATACCTACCCATGTAAGACACAGCACTATGTGGGCATTGGAGATTTGACCTAGGGCAAGACAGTCATCATCATTTTCTATAAAATCTATAAACTATTGAGAAAAGAGAAAAAATGTAAAAAGAAAAATTACCAAAAACCGTTTGGGAGGAAGTGATCAAAGCCTGGAAAAACAAGAGTGAGGCCAGATTTAGAATACATCTTTGCAGAAGTGGTAGATTTCAAGTCCAGATAGTAAGGCTAAGAAAGAGAACACTCATATGAAAAGACGGAAACTGGGCAGTGGAGGGGTTGGAGAAGGAATGCAGCATGTAAAGGAAGTGCCTTGCACACAAAAGAGCTTCTGTGTTCAAGGACCTGAAAGCAGAATGGTGCACTTAGACCTCGTCCCCTCCTCCTGTGCTCTCCATGAACAGACACAGGGACATAACCATATTCAATCTTATGTATTAAGGGGATTGTTCATGGTTCTGCTATGTAGGGAATAGATGGAACTACCCAAATGAAATGGTAAGGAGGGCAGTGAAGGAGTGACAATGGAGGCCCAGGTTGTGGGAGATTGTGTCTTAGAAATGAGGCATGTTGTCCACAGAATCACCAGTCTGTACTGGGTTGAATCATCTCTGAATCATCAAAGGTACCTCCTGATCTTGTGAAATGAGTGAACAAACTGAGTGGTAGTGACATTAATGGATCTTCTCAGCAACTTTTAGAAGATAGATCCACAGTTCGTTTTGAGGGCACACAAAACAAAAGATTTTGGAAAGGACAGGAGTAAAACATTCAGAGGTCTCTGTTGGGAACATAAGTGGCAAATTGATGAGCATAGAAGTCACGTACTAAAGAAAGATGACTTGCCATCTCTTCACAGAGATTGTATTACTGCAGACAGAGCTTTGAGGAGCCCCATCATTCAGATACCTCCAAGAGAATATGAAACGAAGAAGTCCAAAAGAGAAGAGAGTTACACGCACAAACAGAAAGGGAAGGTAAAGGCTGTTCAAGACTAAGTTATCCATCATTTTCCAAGTTATTCAAGAACAGAGGTGTGTTCTGTAGGTGTGGATGCTAAAGGTTGCCTTGGAAAGATGAACTGAAGGAAATGAGAGGGAAAATTTAGATGTCAATTTTCTTTTTAAAATTTTATATAAGGATTATATTACTCATATATATAGTGATATCTTTGGGGAATAATAAAATGTATGATTCATCATGAAATTAAAGAAATAGTTTATAAAAGAGTTTATTTGAAATTATTACAGCATGTAATAACTGTGTGTATTAATACTATGTGTACAATATCATTTATAGAAAAGAAGTGTTAATAGTAATTCTATTTAAGGAAGGAGATCATATGGTATTTATTATTATCTTTCTCTTCTTGAAAATGAGTACACATATTCTGTAACAAATTTAAAAGATGATTTTAAATTGTTTAATAAAGACTATGGAAATAACATATGCTAGTTATATATTTAAAGTATATACAGGCATATACATCAAAGAAGGAAGGAAGACCAGCAAACTCTATTCCCTAAGGAAGAGTATCCAGTATTAACAATTTGGAGTATATCCTTCCAGACAGAAAGTTCTGTGTAGTACATATGCACACAGAATACTCTATAAATATATATAAATTAACACTTTGAGGCAGGCTATTATGATAAAAATGTGTCCAAGAATCAAAGAGGGCAAGTTGTATAAACAACTTTCCGTTGAGATTTGTCTATGATTGTCACAGAAAGCAGATTATTGTTGTGCTTTGAATATGAAATAATTCCTCAAAATCTTGTATACTGAACGTTTGAACCCCATCTGGTGGCACTATTGAGATGTGGTCTGATCATGAGAGTTCTAACCTCATCATCCCTTAGTGAGTTCATAGTTGAATGAGTTATTGGACACAGGACCTAACTGGCCACTGTTGATGTTTCTTTAAAGCAAAAGATTGGAACCTTCCTCCTACTTTCTGTCCACTGTGAGGTGAGTAGTTCTTCCCTACCATACCATGTGTCCCTCTTTACATGGACCTAAACAAGTAATGGAACCAGCAGACAGCTCTGAGAACTCTGAAATTATAGACCCAAACCATCAACCTTCACATAGTCTTAAAATTATGTAGGTGGTGTTGAGCTTAGTCTGTCATACTATGAAAATCTGACTAAAACAAGTGGTGGTAGGGAGAGATGTGGGAATCAAGAGGTAGATTTAGTATCAAGACTGGGGATTTGATCTAAGAGGTCTGTGTGCAGAAGACAAGGTAAAAAGAGGAGTTAAGTAAAATATGGAAGTTTTTAAAGAACTGAGACAAGGCTGAGATGGATTGCCTTTTGATGGGAAGAAGGAACATTTCACCATTATTAGAAGAGGAGATGCCAAGAGAGAAGAGTGTGTAAGCTCGACAGTGGAGAGGTGAGAGAGTCTGACTCTATAAACATGGATAGACGCCTGTTGGGATTTAGAGGAACATCATTCTAAAAAGAAACAGTGAGTGTGGGAACACAAACCTGTCCTATTTGAAGATGCTTTCATGAGGGGAATTCCTGGCTCCCTGCACTGTCATTTCTATGTATAGGCTTTCCTGTACATAGAAGCAGAACCACCTTTCCTCTGAACTATAAGATTGGTGACCAGGGAAAGAGCAGCACAAGGTTTGTGCAGGCTCATGTCTACTCCCAGTGGAACTGATGGCTCTTCATCTGCGTCATGACATGCCACCTACCAGGCTTGACATTGTTGCTAGCAGGAACCGCCGTTAAAGAATTTCCAGTCAGGAACCACACCATCTGTTGGGAGTCATGAACTCTGTAGGTTCTGGGAAATTCCTGAACTGCCAGATAACAGAAAAACACAAGACACAGGTGTGGGTATAATTAGCTTTAAGGTTTGTGGTCCATTCTAATAATAATGCATTCTGAATTTCTGTGATAAGTATTGCTTTGAGAAGATATGGCCATAAAACAAAGGAAAGGGAAATAAGGCATCCTGGTTTATGGATCAAGGCACAGAAAAGATTGAATACGTTTCTAGTTGCAAGACATGTTCAGTATTTGCCAGTTCTTGTGGAATTATTCTTTCCTGGTTTATAAAGTCTCTACATGGCACCAGTAACCAACTATTAAGCAAGCATAAGTATGTTGTTTAATTTTTTTCTTTACCATCTTAGTCAAAATGAACAGATGATTCTAAATACAGCTAATAAGGAAAGAGCTGACGTGCCTTGAGATTTCAGTGTGTATGCCTCTGAGCAGTTTAGCCAGAGCACATAGATTTGTGTCGAAGAAAGTGAAGCAGGCCCCTTCAACCCTATTATCCTTGGTGAGATTAGACGGAGATAGCCCAGATTGATTTGTGATTTACACTTACTCTCTTTTTCCATATTCTTGGGCTTAGAACTTTTTGGAGGAGTACAACGTACACCAGGTTGTGGAGGGAAAGCCATCATTGCCTGAGAAAGAAAAAGGAAAAAAATTTTTTTCTCTTAGATGCTCCTAGAATCTTATGAAATTCTTTAGTGAGAGTTTCCCTAAATCCTCACCCTATATTCACGTTAAAGTGTTTTAATGACTTGTCTGTTGTATTTATGTGGAGGAGTATTTTGCTTTCCTGTATGTATATGTACCATCTGTGTGTGTAGTGCTCAGAGGAGGTAGTCTGATCCTCTGGATCTAGAGCCTCAGACAGTTGTAAGTTGCCCAGTGTGACTGCTAGGATTAGAAACCTGACCCTCCACAGTAACAGCAAGGGCTCTTAAACACTGAGCCATCTTTGTAGCATACGGATTACTATTTAAAATGTACTTAGAACATAATTCAAGGACAGCAATCCCTAAGTGGAAGCTCCCATCCCTTTATTGACTGGTCTCCAGACTATGGTGACTTTGAAGTTCTATCCACCATCACATCTGGATGGTGAGGAGGTTTAATTATCACAGGAATTTCTACACGGAATCACCACCAGGCTTAGGACAAGTAGGGTGTACTTGTTCATCTCTGTTCTAGCTCTTCCCTTGGCTTTTAAACTTCCCTGCTTTTAAACTGAGAAATCCTGCGCATCTAGCAGCAAACCCACCCTTCTGACTTCTGTATTCCTTTACTCTTTCTCCTGAGAGACACGGCCAAGGATTCTGCATGCGGCCATTCATAACCCCATCAGAAGTTTATCTCTTTAGGGATATTTGCACATAAGATTCTGGTTAATAGCACCAGGTATAAGTACACAATCTCTTATAATGACAACCAATTGATCACCTCCTGTAGCCAGGACCCTCAGTGCCTCCCTTGAGAGTTGCCTTTTGGCAGGGAATGAGATCATTACAAGCAGCACTCTAATTATAAGCAACTCTTAATTTCTCCAGTACCTTGTATCTTGAGTGAAGGCCACAGGAGCACCCAGGGCTGGACAGAAAGCAGAGAATGTTTTCCCTCACAAGGCTCTGAACAGCAGAAATTACCTTGGTCCAAAGAGGTCTTGTCTCCGGGATCAAAGTTATGACTGTAGCTCTATATGTAGGCACTGAGGCAGTCTGTGACTCCAGACCTTTTAATTATTAGCAAGGCAGTATCACTATCTTCTGACCCCGGGTGTGCCCACTTTAGCAAGAAACCTGGGCTGGCAAGAAGGGCCTGGGAGGCTGTGGAGAGGAGGCAGGGAGGCAATACAGGTGTGGCTTGTCTAGGCTCCTGGGGCAACGAAAGCAGCAATCACAGCAGCAAACAATAGTGAGGAAACACATAGGCTAGAAGGTGAGTCATGGTGAAGGTGGCTTCTGGACTGCCTTGAGTCAGAGGTGTGGCTGTCTTGACTCAGTGAACAGCTTAACACCAAAGTCCTATTTACATTGATCTGTGGCAAAGCCCAGTCCTGATCTCAGGCATTTTACATATTTACTATGCCACAACTCCTGACAGCTTCTGTGTTTCTGATAAAGCTGTAAGAGCTCCAATTTCCTGAGTATCTTTTAATCCTCACACTAGTCCTTTACTGGCCATCCCTCTTCCTCACATCAGCAAACGAGCCCCAGGAGATGACAAAAAGGTCAGGCAGCCAGGCACACTGTGCAGCCAAGTGTGAAGGCAAGCTCTTGATGCTATGTGACGCACTCACCTTGAGTCTTGATCATCTGCATACTGTATTAACAGAAACACAAAGGTGGTCTCGGGACTCACTCAGTGTGCAGGAAGCAGACAAAGGTGCTATCAAAGACTTTCAGGTTTGTGAGTTCATCACTCTGCAGCACAAGTCAGACACAGCCTGGACGTTGATACTAGAAGGAAGTCTTCCCCTTCAATAATGTGGATCGGTGCTAAACGCTTAAAGAAATCCACTTGTTCTATTCCAAACTTTGCTCTCAGGGAACTCTTAAATGTGGATCATGGTCACATTCTCTGACATCCACCATCAGATCTTTTCCTTAAAATCTTGTCATACTCCCTAACTTCTATCCCTGTCTGGCCCTAGCTGTACCCACTTGGCCAAGAAACCTGGGCTGGCACGGAGGACCTCTGAGGATTTGAAGGGAAGGCAGGAAAGTAATCCAAGTGTGACTGTTCTGGGCTGTTGGAGAAACTAAAGCAGCACAAACATCAGGAAGCTGTTTTTCCTTGGACTTAAATGTCCACCAAGCTATGACCAGGATGAGATAGAACTATTGTCATATCACTTCCCTGCTCAAAAAAAAGTTGTCACTTCATGGTAGGACACACAGAGCTCTCACTGTGGCCACCCCACCCCACAGGACCCACCCCTGCTTTCTGTCCCTGCTGCTTTTGATCCTACACTAAGGTTTCCCTGGCTTAGTTCACATTAGACTTTTGCTAATTCTCCGGATTATTCCTGTTTGGGCAACTGGATGCTTGCATTTAATGTTAGTGGGATGTATATAAAATAAAACATTTTACAGTGTTATAATTGTTATACTTATATTATTTTATTGTGTTAATTAGCATTTATTAATTAATGTATTATTGATTGACTAATATAATTACATAATATTAATAAATTAATATTATAAGATGTGTGTAGTTATAATACATGATATATCATATAACTTATATATAATATGAAGTATATATTACATCTAATATAAATTATATAGTATAAATAACATGTAATATATGATTTAACATAAGATATTACATGTGATATGTAGTGACATATATTGTACATATCATGTTATGTATATATGAAATTATATGTATATAGTGTATTGTATTATATACAATATATAACAAATATATGGTTATATGAAATAATTTGTATAATTATGTTTTATATTATATATTATAATATATTTCATAATATAATTAATATATCATATATATTTATTATAAATAATCGATATGTTCTATATATTTGTTATAGATAATATAATAGTTAACATAAGATGCATTATTCATCTATTTTATCTCTTATTTATTATGCATAAAATATAATAGAATATAGTATTTATTATGTATATAACATATAACATAACATATAATACATGTATGATATAATGTGTTATATAAATTATATATTATGCATGATATATAATTATATGCATAAATTGTATATATAAATTTTAAATGTCATTATATGCATATATAATACATTATATTTATTAGGTACACATTTTATATATGTACATATGCTATATACATATGTTAATGTTATGCATGATTACATGTATAATTATATATAGTTATATATGTAAATAATGTATATAAATCATATGTAATAATATATAATTATAATATATAATTATATATTACATGATGATATATGTAATATAATATGCATTCCTATATAAGTATATGTAATAAAATGGATATATAATTATATAGAATATATATTATATTTTGTATCATATAGATGATCTATAATTACATGATATATTATATAATTTATTATATTATATATAACATAGACATTATTATATCATCATATTATATAATATGTTATATAACATTATGTTTTCAGACAAAAAATTAATGCTACAATAACCAATGTATTTATTAGTTATAGTAGATACAAGAACTAATTATTGAGAAATTATTGTTGTCATTAATGCTTATTCATTAATATATAATGCTGAATTATATCTATGGATAATACATCATATATTATTATATAGCAAATAATGCATGATTTATTACATATTGTATTTTATATAGTATATTACATGTAACATTGTGCATACTATATTATATATAATATATCATATGTATATATGGGAGCTTATAAGATGTGACACTCCCGTATTTCCCGTTAGTATTGGATGATATAATGAAGTCAAAGGAAGCTGCAGCACCTTAGGAAAACCCCCACAAACGTAGACTGAGTCTTTGTGGCTATGGGTGCTTACTGCCTGGATGAGCTGTTTATATCTTTTGCAGAAAAAATAATGGAAAAATTTGAAGCAAGACTGACTACAAATCAATCATGTGTCTGCTGGGATGTGTCTAAGTGCAGCCTATCCTTACAGTGTTCCCTCCTGTTCGGTGTGAGACTATTGTGAAGGGTGTCATTTCCCTAATTTCTTTTTCAGTCTGTTTATCCTTCAAGTAGAGGAAGGCTACTGATTTGTTTGAGTTGATTTTATAACCAGCCACTTTGCTGAAGTTGTTTATCAGGTTTAGGAGTTCTCTGGTTGAAGTTTGGGGGTCACTTAAGTATACTATCATATCATCTGCAAATAGTGATATTTTGACTTCTTCCTTTCCTATTTGTATCCCTTTGACTTCTTTTTGTTGTCTAATTTCTCTGGCTAGAACTTCCAGTACTATATTGAATAGGTAGGGGGAGAGTGGGCAGCCTTGTCTAGTCCCTGATCTTAGTGGGGTTGCTTCAAGTTTCTCTCCATTTAGCTTGATGTTGGCTACTGGTTTGCTGTAAATAGCTTTTACTATGTTTAGGTAGGGGCCTTGAATTCCTGATCTTTCCAAGACTTTTACTATGAAGGGATGTTGAATTTTGTCATATTCTTTCTCAGCATCTAGTGAGATGATCATGTGGTTTTTTTCTTTGAGTTTGTTTATATAGTGGATTACATTGATGGATTTCTGAATATTGAACCATCCCTGCATTCCTGGGATAAAACCTACTTGATCATGATGGATGATTGTTTTGATGTGTTCTTGGATTCGGTTTGCTAGAATTTTATTGAGTATTTTTGCATCGATGTTCATAAGGGAGATTGGTCTGAAGTTCTCTTTCTTTGTCGTGTCTTTGTGGGGTTTGGGTATGAGTGTAATTGTAGCTTCATAGAACGAATTGGGTAGTGTTCCTTCTGTTTCTATTTTGTGGAATAGTTTGAAGAGAATTGGTATTAGGTCTTCCTTGAAGGTCTGATAAAATTCAGCACTAAAACCATCTGGTCCTGGACTTTTTTTTAGTGGGGAGACTGCTGCTATTTCCTTAGGGGTTATGGGACTATTTAGATAGTTTATCTGCTCCTGGTTT